AATGCTACCTGGTGGAGAATGGCCTCGACCCACTGCCCACGCCGGCAGGCGCGTGGGCGGCTCAGCCCTCGGCCCCGCTGCAGGCCATTGGCAGGATTACGTGCTGGTACAGGCTTCTGATGACTACACTGGCTTTGCAGAAGCCCTGGGACCGGAGGTCGGGTGCAGGGTGGGGCTGCTGCCAGGGCCTCAGAAGAGTGTGTTCCAGGATTCGGTGCCATCTGCTTCCTGTCACCGCCACTCTCAGCGTGGCTTCCCAGTGCCAGGTGGCTCAGTGGCACGAGTCGCGTTCTCAGCCCTGACATCCCTGCCATCTAATCGCAGAGGTGAACTTGGCTCTGGCAGACCATCACAGCCCTTCCTCTCCATCTACAGTGACTTTTTCTAATAGCTCTTAAAAAATGTAACACTTCTTTTAGTCCTGCCTTGCCTAACCAATTCCTTTGAACTTTTCATATCATTGAAAATAGAATTTCAGCCTGTAAGCAAAACCACGTTTCTGATTTATTTAGCAAACTTTAGTCCAAAGAATGGTCAGCAAGGGGCTACTCACTGATGGCAGGTATCTGAGAATAGACACATTCAAACTGTCTTTAGCTCCCTACCCGTTTTGTTAGCTGCTCTGTGTCAAGGTCAGAGGGTCCCATTAAGGAGTCAGTTTCCTCTCTGGGTTTTTTATCAGTGTCCCTAGATCACAACTGAAATTTGCTGTTGTCAGGTCACCTCTGACTTGTAACAACCCTCTCCTGGGTGTCCAAGGCTGTAAGTCGCATGCTGCTGGTGGATTAGAACCACAGGGGACCTGACAAATCAGTAGACCACCAGAGCCCTTATTCCATGAAGATGATGATGATGTTATGTGCCGGTGACTCAACAGTTCTGAACCCTGCCCTGCCCTGAGCCAGTCTCACTGACTCTGACATACCTAACCCCGTTACTCCAGTTACTGTGTCTGTCCATCTCATCCTGGGTTTTCCTCTCCTGTGCTGTCCCTCCACTCTTCCACACATGATGCACCTTTCCAAGGACTGGTCCCTCCTGGCCACATGCCCTATGTGAGAGGGAGCTTCAGAGTCCTTGCCTTTAAGTTTCACCTTCTCCAGGGCAAACCGATTTGTTCTCCTGGCTGTCCATGATGTATGTTCAATGCTCTTCTCCAGCACCACAACTTAAAGGCATCAATTTTTCTTCTGTCATCCTTAGTCCTCGTCCATCTATCTGATGCATAGCATGTAATTGTGAAGACCATGGCCTGAATCAGGCTCACCTTTGTCTCTACACTGACATCATTGCTCCTCAGCACTCTGGAGGGGTCTGACAACAGACTTCCGCAGTGCAGTTCGTCTTTTGACTTCCTGACTTTTGGTGCCAAGAGTGTTGATTGTAGAGCTGAGCAAGCTGAAATTGTTAACAACCTCAGTCTCTTCCCCATTCCATCATGGTGCTGCCAGTTGGCCCAGTGGTGAGACTCTTTGACTGCTTGATGTTTAGCTTCAATCATATTGAAGACTGCAATCCTTGACCTTCTGCAGCAAACTCTTCATTCAGGCCCTCCTCAGTTTCCGCGAGCAGGGTTGTATCATTTGCATAGCGCAGGTTGTTGATGAGTCTTCCTCCAATCCTGGTGCCGCATTCCTCCTCATAAAGTCCAGCCTCTCAAGTAATCTGTTTCGCATATAGATTGAAAAGATATGGAGACAGGATGCATCCCTGGAATGCTCCTTTCCTGATTTTGAACCATGCAATGTTTCCTTGCTGTGTTCTGACAACTGCTCCATTCCTTGATTGTAGTAGGAATGGAGCAGTTGTCAGAACAGAGCAAGGAAACATTGCATGGTTCAAAAATAGGAAGATTGTAGTCTGAAATAAAAGTCTGCATCGGATCATCTAGAGCAGTGAGTGCTCCTGGCAGCCAGTCCTGGAGATTCAGATCCTCTTAGGAAACTGGAACTAATATCCGTGAAACAATCATAAAACAGTGCCATGCTGATGGAGTGCTCAGCAATACGGAGAAACAGTGATGAACATGGCAAACACTGCAGACTATGGCTGAGGCTGGAGGGTAGCACGCTAAGTGAAATACGTCAGTTACAAAAGGACAAATATTGTCCCAGGTCACTGTTAAAAAAGCCCACTTCGGCAGCATAGGTGCTGAAACTGGAGCAGTCCAGAGGAAGATGAGCAGGGCCCCTGTGCAAGCATGCCGCGTGAATTCATGAAGCGTTCCTTCCATATTTTAAAAGATTTAAAGGCTTACACGCAGAACCATCCTGATGTGGTTGCCCAGACGGGGGAAGGGAAGTAGGAGTGGAAAATGAATTAATAGGTAATTATTTATTAATATAGGTGAAGGAAAACCAGTATGGAATGGGAGTGGAAGATGAGACGGTGGGTATTGGCATCAGTGTTACAGGACTAACTACATGAGGGAGTGATGGAAAAGCCGTGTGGTCACGCTGATGGTCACCTCCCGGGAGTCCATTCTAAGATTATCAGAGTGGCCCGTGGGTCTCTTTCAGCCTTATACAAAGGCAAGAAGGAACAACCAAGATCTTAAGTTTTGATGAAAATGTCATAGTAATAAATTTCCATATGCCAGGGAGGGGGGTTGGGTGAGCAGTGTGCTTTGCAAACTTTCACTCAAATCACAATAGAAAATGTTTTTTTTTGGGGAAAAAAATAATATGTATAGTAGCCAGTTGATGCAGCTGATGAATATAGTAGGAATTTGGTGTGATCCTGACAAGCCTTGAACTTCTTAGGCAAGGCGGGACCTTGGTCTTGGTCGAGGGAAAGGAATCAGCCCAGAGGAATGGGATGGGGACTGAGAGGGAGACGTTTAGAGGTTAAAGGAAGAGAACAGCAGAGGTTGCTGAGTGAGTGACCAGGCCGGCATCAGCTGGGTGGAGGTGAGCGCTGAGCTCACAGGTGAAGGCACAGGTCCCTGTCGGTTCTTGACCTGTTTCTCAGAGCGGAGCTGGAGATGTGAGGTGAACCTCACACACTGGATCTGGGGGCTGGGGTGCGGAGACATCTCCTTGTAGTAACCGTACTCACTGATAGAATTGATGGGGAAGATGCCACCGCCTTTTTGTTGGCTCCTTTTGGGTTCTTCTTGAGGTTGGCATTCAGATAAGAAAGACTGTGTCAGATAGAGAAGAATGAGCCTCTCATGACAGTAAATAAATAGTTGTCATAATTTTCAGATACAGTGTTAAGGTACCTGTTTGGTGATTTTAACAGATGTGGGTTTCAGAAGGAACGGAAGTTAATGCATGGTATGTTGTATTCATTCAGGCTGGTCATTAGTCGGCTCCTTCGCTGGAGTGGCCCCCCCATCGGCCTGGAGACACAGGGTGTGCCAGCCACTCTTATTGACCCTCATGTAGCACGCCCACATTCCCAAGGCAGAATTACCCAGTCTAGCCTGGAGACGTCTGGCAGGTCCACCTGAGCAGAACGTTGAAGCTTGAGTAGGAGGTGACCAGGTGATGCTCCAGGAGATGAGAAGAGCAGGAGAGAACGCGGCATGAGTGGAGGGTCAGGGAGTGGAGGGTCAGGGAGTGGAGGGTCAGGAAGTTTATTCCAGGAGGGGTGCAGGACGCCTCTAGGGGAGCTGAGAGAGAGGCAGATGTAGGAACTAGATGGGGGTGCATCTCAGGGGTTGTGTTCCGTCCTGATGGCAGTGAGGAGCTGTCTGGGAGTCCAGGCTGTCTCACACTGGGTAGGGTGGCCGCAGTGTGGATGATGGCGCAGAGAGGACAAGGCAAAGTCAGGTTAGATGACAACCTGCCCTGGAGCATGAGAGAGGACAGGAGAGAAAAGGGCACAGGGGGATATTTTAGAAAGTAGGTAACAAAGGCTTGATGACTGCGTGGGTTTGTCAGATGAGGAGAAGACCTGATGTGAGTGAACGGATGGTGCCCCCACACGTGAAGTTCTGGGATACCGGAGGACATTGAGCGCAGCGGGAGCGGTGATGGGTTCATTTTGGAAGTGTGCTGACTTTGAGCTGATGGTGGGATGTCCAAGGGGACCTTTCCGGAGGATCCGTGGGTAATGGCTCTGGAACCCGGGGAGATCTGGGCCGTGCTGGTGTGGATGGCAAACATGGCACCGGGTGGGGTCATCCCCAGACTCTCAGCATGCCTCCTGCTCTTCCAGGTCCTGTGCTTATTCTCTTCTGGCTCGTCTGCCCACGTCCACTCGAGCCCGTTCTCACACGGCTGGCAGAGTGACGGCCTGGGATCTGGTCGTCCTGCCTGAAGCTCGTCACTGACTTGCCATTGCCTGTAGCGTAGAATGAAGCCTGCCTCGCCTGGCTCCAAGTGCCCCGGGGCCTCGTGTGGCCTGCCACCCTCCTGTGCAGCCCGGAGCTGAGCCTCTCCACCCTCAGCCTTGCTGCCGCACAGCCACCTTCCATAGCCTCGGCCTCTGTCTGCTGCAGTCAGTGCCTTCTCCATCTGAGGCGTGGGCCCGCCTGCTCCCTCTGCTGGGATTTCCGTCTCTGTCTCGCTGATTCCTCTTTTCTCAGATGTCATTTTGTCTGAGAGGCCCTTGCTGACCATCTCCGCCCTGCTAGGGTCATCCTGTATTTTTACTTTCCTTGGCATTTAACACCATCTGTTAGTGCTCTGTGTGTGTGGTCTAAGTGGGCTCTGTCAGGAGCAGCCTCTCAGGAAGCCCCCAGCCCCTTCTGCAGCCAGCCATCCTCTCCCCAAATGCCTCAGCCCAGAGCCCTCCCCACATGCATCTCTGGGAGACCCAAGGCCAGACCACAGACGAGTTCTTCACGGGGATCCCCCTGCTGCCTCCCAAGCCGAGGACTGGGGCCACCAGGCATGGGGTGCGGGGTGGCCGCGGCGCAGCTCTGACAGTGGCGTAGCTGCTGGGCTTTGAGAGAGAAAAGCTGCTGCTGGTCCCCTCTCTGGCGTCTGCGGCGGGTAGACCGTTGCAGCGCTGATTGGCAAAGCCACCCACACATGCCATTTGCATTGCAGCTGTGGGCAAGTCCACCTTTGTGAAGTTACTCACGAAAACGTACCCCGAGTGGCACATAGCTACCGAGCCCGTAGCAGCTTGGCAGGATGTCCAAGGCACTGGCGCCCGAAAAGTAAGTCTCTGCTGTGGTGGGCGGGTAGTCGGCAGGCCTGGGGATCCTCGAGCCGAGATGAGCTGAATTGCCCCGTGTGGGTGCCGGAGCCCAGTGTGCGGTCAGCTCCATTCCAGAGGGTGGTCCACACGGCCCGCAGGGGTACGGCTTGTTTACATGTGTCCACTGTGAATTGCGTGGGTTTTGCCTGTCTGCGTGAGTGACCGCCCCTCTTCCCTGTGGTCTCTCGGAGCTCCTCCAGCGTCCTCCCTGTGCAGATTCATCTGTCATTCCTACCCCGAAGCATTTCTGTGCTGGCCGAAGGTGAACATGAGGGGTTGTTAGCTGTGGTGATCAGAGCTGGCGTGTGCGCACTTAGAAGTTGGGGGAACCTGCCCTGCCTTGAGTCGGTGCAGGAATGTTTCAGTGACTGTTTTTCCAGCGTGTCCCCTGGTGGACACTGTGCGCGCACACAGCCCTCTCAGGCCTGCTGCTCCAGGCAGGCTGCAGGGCTGGCTTCCACATGGCTGGTTTGGATGTGGACCCTACAGGTCACCAAGAGGGTGGCCTCACTGAGCGTCCCCTCCCTCCCACCTGGAGCACTGACCGAGCAGCTCCTAGTTTTAACCATCCCACGAGGAAGCCACGCTGCCTCCACCCAGCTCTGCCTGGAGTCTTCAGCCTCGAGTCTCTGAGCTTTCCCACGTGGGGCCTTAGGTAAAATATTTGCAGATTTAGAAAAGCTGTGATGGTCACATGCATGCTGCTTAATGGTGGCAGGACACTGCACAGTAGTAAAAAAAGGGGTCAGTTACAGACCCTCTAGTTTAAATATTTCAACTCAGCTCATAGTTGGCTGTTGAGCAGGTTTTCAGAGGCTGTACAGGGCATGGGAGGAGGTTGTCCGTCTGTCTCCGTGGAGCCGCTGGTGGAGTCACACTGCCAGGGGGAGCTCCCGGTTTTAAAGATTGCATTTTTCTCATTTCTGTCATACGTAAAGTGTTGCAGTAAGGATCTGTCACTGTATGAATCCATTTCATCGAGGGTCTGCCTCTCTTTCACTGACCCTCCACTCTTCCCAGCCTCGTGTTTTTTCTGAGGACTGGCCCCACCTGACAAAATGTCCAAAGTACATGAGATGCAGTGTCACCATTCTCTGGAAGGAGCACTCGGGCTGCACTTCCTCCAAGACTGACTCGTTTGTCCTCTCGTCAGTCCACGGGCTATTCAGCACTCTTCTCCGGCACCACAGCTCAAAGGCATCAGTTCTTCTGCCATCCTCATTCTTGTCTAACTTTCAGGAGCATGAGAAACAGTTAAAAACACTTTAACTTAGCTTGGACACATGTTAGTCTTTCAAATGACCACATTTACAAGAGGTTCTTGGCAGCAGGTTTGCGTGGTGCAGTGTGTCATTTGATATCTTCACTACAGTTACCATGGGTTTTAATTGTAGATCAAAGTAAAATGAAATTTTTACAGTCTTTGCTCCATTTATCATGGTGTTGCTTATGGGTCCAGTCCTGAGGGATTTTTATTTTATGTTTAAATGTAACCCATACTGGGGATATCCTTGCAGTTAAATGTTTCCAGCCTTTTCATTATATTTGGTATATCTCTGTGTTTTCTAGAAAAGAAATTTTGCTATTTAAAAATTAAGTGTATTGTTGACATTTTAAAAACACATTTTAGGCGAGCTCTGGTGGCCTAGTGGCAAGAAGCTGCACTGCAATCTCAGGTGAGCGGTTCAAGTCCACCAGATGCTCTGCTAGAGAAGGAGGAACAATCTCCTCTTGTACCAGTCAGATCTGATTTGACGGTACACACAAAAAATAATGAAATAAAACAAATTAAAAAAAAACAAAAAACAAAACACAAACCAACACATTTTAGTCAATTTCCCTTTGGAAAAGTGGTACCAATTTCCTCATTATCAGCAGCACTGAGTATTGTTAGTTTTTTCATTCTTCTCTGAGAGGCAAGGAAACATTTTATTTTCTGGTTTTTGCTTACCACTGAGTTGAACATTTTTAAAAAGTTTGCCCAACCGTTTCCTGGTCTTCCTTATTGAATTACCAGTTTCAGTTTCTTGCCCTTTGCCTCCTGCTATGTTCTCAGGTGGCTTCAGTAGAGCTTGTGTATGTTAAGTGTGTTAACTCTTGTCATCTCTTGCAGGTGTTTTTCCCAGTTTCACTTTCTTTGACTGTTGCCTGCGTTTTGCAACATAATAACTTTTTAGTGTCTGTGTATGAGTCTGCTCATCTTTTCCTGCCTGTGAAGTAACAGTTTAAAAAGGTTACCTGTCGCCCAAAATGATAAATATACTCTCACCTGTATGTCTTTCTCTTCTCATTTGTCCTGTATGACTTTGAACGGTTTCGATGTCTTATTGACAGAGCCCTGATAGCCTAGTGATAAGAAGCTTCGCGGCAATCCCCAAGGCACATGGTTCAAATCAGCCAGCTACTCTGCAGGAGAACGATGGGCAGTCTCCTCCCGTGAGACTTAATCCCTCTGCAAACCTGCTAGAGTGTCAGCTGTGGGTGGTTCTGACTCCACGGCACGCAGCAGCATCAGCACCAGCAGCAGTTTGACTTCCCTGCGACTGTCCCCTCGTCCAGTAGTCACAAGTATCTTCTTCCTGTTCGGTTTTGTGGTTTTGTGCTTTGTTGTCGTGACTGGATTCTTTTCTCCATCATCTTTGCAGCCTGGTCCTCGCTGTGTCAGAGGACAGGCTGATGCTTGTGGCTTTAGTCCTGGTCGACCCGCTGCCCGTATCTTTGCCTCACTTTGCTGTTTCTCTCTGTTTCCAGTTAGGGAAGATGACGACCTGGGACAGTTGTTCTTGAGTCGTTTCCGACTCCTGTCAGCCTCATTTGTCTGAGCAGGGCTGTGCTCCCTGCAGGAGCACCAGGACCTGCTTCCAGGGTCCTCCAGGTGGGCTAGACCCACCCACCTTTCTGTTACCAGCCAAGCATGCACCCTCCAGAGCCTCGAGGAAATAATCTCTGACTGCCGTCATGTCATAATAGCAGCTTTCTCTAAATTGTAATAATAGATCCTCGTTTTCCTGCTCCTGTGCCTCGTTTCTTACACTGAGCAGAACTTCCAGAACACAGGCAGTGCCAGTCATGGTGCTCACTGCCCGAGTGCGGTCCAGCGGACCCTCCAGCAGGTTCCTGAGGCTGTAAATCTTAGCAGGAGGAAACTGCTGGTCCTTCTCCGAGGAGCAGCTGGTGGGTTCAAACCACTAACCTTTTGGCTAGCAGCTAGACACCTTATACAGAACAGCCCCAGAGCCTTCTCTGCAGCGGTCACATGTGTACCATCAAGTCGGAGCTGACTCCCAGCTCACTGTCCCGGGGTTTGCAGAGGCACCTGTATTGCCTGAAAGTGCCCACCTTTCTCCCTTGGAGCAGCTGGTAGATTCAAACCGGGTGCCTTTGCAGTGGCTGTGTTCATCCTTGTTTTGTTCTGTCTTTAACTCAGCTCATTGCTGAGCCTGCATTCTTTCCGTGCCTGTAAATCTTGCGGGAGATTGCCCATCTTTCTCCCGAGGAGCCACTGGTGAACTTTAACTGCCCGAGAGCTGAGGCCTGTAGGTTGGCAGCCCAGCCCCTGCAGATTACAGCATCAGTGGTTATGTGATGTTGAGTCAGAACTGATTCACTGCTGACCCTCCAGCAGGTTTTCAGAGGCTGTAAATTGCAGGGGAGGAGATTGCACATCTTTCTCCCAGGGAGCAGCTCGTGGATTTGAACCACGTCTCTTGAGTTGGCAGCACAGCTCCTTACTAGTAGGCCACCGCAGTGCCCCACCTCCCCCCAGAGCCAACACTTGAATACAGTGCTCTCAGGAATGCCAGGGTTAAGTTCTAGGTTTGCTGTTCCCTTCAGTACATGGGCTGAAAGGAAGGATCCCTTCTGCTAAGAAACCTGCTATTTTTATCAGGATCAAATGCTGGCTTTTCATCAGAAGTCTTTTTAGCATCTTGTGATATAATCACATGATTTTTTAAATTTTTAATCTCTTAGTATTAGTCACAGATTTTATAATAATACTGTCCTTGAATTCCTAGAATGAACTTTTTGAAAATAAATTGGGTCTTGCAGGAGATGGATGGACAGTCTCCTCCCGTGTGATTAACTGCCTCTGAAAACCTGCTGGAGCTTTAGCGATGATGGGTCGGTTCCCACTGGACAATATACAACAGCGACAACCACTTTATCACTTTCAGCTGAAGTTTACAAAGGCAGCTTTTCCATTCAGGTATTCACTGGCTTTTGTTTTACGATGTCGATTAGGACCCCACAGTGTGACAGCACGTTCCTGAGTCCTCCCCACAGTTCTTGTTTCCATTCATGCGTGTGCACCTTCCTGCACTCAGAGCTTTATCCCCAGGCATGTGCTGGCCTTGGGATCCTGTGCAGAGGACCTCCCTGTGGTTACTGTTCATGGTGTAAGCCTCCCTGGGGTGCCTGTGTTAAGGTGTTGTTTGTGGAGAGCGTGAGCGGGCGAGTTCAGGTCCACGTGTGTGGAGAGCGGGGGCGAATTCAGGTCCACGTGTGTGGAGAGCGTGCGCAGGGTGAGTTCAGGTCCACCTGTGTGGAGAGCATGCGCGGGGTGAGTTCAGGTCCAGGTGTGTGGAGAGTGGGCAGGGCGAGTTCAGGTCCACGTGTGTGGAGAGGTGCGCGGGGTGAGTTCAGGTCCAGGTGTGTGGAGAGCATGCGTGGGGCGAGTTCAGGTCCACCTGTGTGGAGAGCTTGCGCGGGGCGAGTTCAGGTCCACCTGTGTGGAGAGCTTGCGCGGGGCGAGTTCAGGTCCACCTGTGTGGAGAGCATGCGCGGGGTGAGTTCAGGTCCACGTGTGTGGAGAGCTTGCGCGGGGCGAGTTCAGGTCCATGTGTGTGGAGAGTGGGCAGGGCGAGTTCAGGTCCACGTGTTTGGAGAACGTGCGCGGGGTGAGTTCAGGTCCAGGTGTGTGGAGAGCGTGCGCGGGGCGAACTCAGGTCCAGGTGCAAAGACTGACTGAGGGCCATGGTATCTAGCAGGTTCCCCCGTCTCTGTCAGGCAGGTCAGCCTGGCCATTTGTGTGATTTTGAGTCTTGTTCCACATTTATGTCCTCCTCTGGAGGGTCAGTGAAGGAGAGGAAGACCCCGACCAGATGGCCTGACACAGGCTGTATTAACAGGTCAGAGCTGGTGAGGATGGAGCAGGTCTCTTGGTCACAGGCTCCCTGGGAGCTGTGCTTGACTCGACCCAACGATGGGCTCGAGGCTGAGAGGTGGTGAGGACGGCACAGGCGCGGACAAGGTCCAGAGCTGTTGTTCACAGGGGGGACGACGACCCGACGCACCTAACAACAACTACAGATCAGCCTCTCTTGTGATCCCTTTTAGAATAGTAGGACATGTCCTTTTTGGTCGTTGTGTCGGACTCCGTAAATCACCTAACCTAAACAAAACCCAGAGTCACTGCTGTTGAGTTCAGTTCCTGCGGGGCCCGTGGGAGGAGCCCTGCCCCTGGCGTGTCCCCTCCTCGGCCTGTTGCCTGAGCGGTGGGTGGAGTGTTCAGGACACTCACGCCCTGATTTCCCGCTGAGCTGACCTTGCATCACAGCACCAACTGGACCGCTCATACCTTGATTATTGTATGTATGTTTACACATTTAACTAGCGTTACTGTGTGTGTACGTCTTTTGATAGGTTTCACAGTTAGGGCTATGATAATGAATTGAGAACGTTTGCAGCGGCATTTTTTAGCGCAGGAATTTTTTTATTAAGGTAATGCTAGAAGTCTGCTGTAAAATTCTGTGTCGTGCTGTTTAGGGGGAATCATCATTGAACAGTTGTTTGGCCTTTTTGCTAGTCTTCAGATATATTTTTTTTTTACCTTTTCCAGAGTAAATTTTTATTTTACTTGCATAGAGAATTGTCCCTATTGAGATTTTCCGATTCAGTGGCACGAATTTATTGCATAGTATTTTTTTATACTTTAAGAAAAGTATTTTTCACATACTCTTCAATATCTGAAATTTGTCTTTTGATTGAGGTGTATATTTTTGTGAGTATTTTAGGAGGGAATAGATTTGATAAACAGCTGACTGTTTACTTGACCTCTTTAAATGAAACAATTGATTTCTTTTTAATCTAGGGAAGTGTTGCATTCCAATTAATTCATTTTTTCTGTCTTTAACATTAATATCTTATACTTTGTTTGCATATTTAAAAGCTCTTTGGGTTTAATGATTCCTGTGTGTTTACCTTTTTAATAGTAAAAGATTTTTAAAAAAAACTTAGCACTGAGAATTTCCCCAAGGGGTAATTGTAACTGTCTTCTAGAGGAGAGCTGTGGTCTCTGGTTACAGCTGTGGTTTCTTTGTACATTTTCCTTGGTAGTCTTGGTGTGTGTTTTGCTCACTTACCAATTGCTAGTTTTCTTCTTGACTCATATGTGATCATTTCTGGTAAATGTGTCTTGGCATTTTAAGAAGACTGTATTGGAAGGAGAGTACACAGGTACTTCATTGGTTCAGTGATGTCATTAAGCAGCTCTGGCCGCACCTGGATGCTATCTGAAGGGCGCTGGCCTTTCAGCAGTCAAGCCTGGTGGCCACTCCCAGGGAGGATGATGTGACAGTCAGCTTCCTTAAAGATTGTAGCCGTGGAAACACGACAGGGCAGATCTGCTCTGCCCGCAGGGTCTCTGTGAGTCAGTATCTACCAGACGGCAGTGGGTTTGCTTCATTTTCTTTTAAAGATGTCATAGATTGTAAGACAGAGAATCAGATTAATAACACTTCTAAAGAATCATAACAGTATCAATTAGGTTTCATTTAATAATCATTGTAAGAGGAAGAGAGCCTGAGTGATACAGTGATTTTGCACTGGGCTGCTGTCTAAGAAAGGTCGGAGGTTTGAATCTGCCGTGGAAGAAAATGTGGCCATTTGCCCCTATAAAGATTTACAGCCTCAGAAACCCTATGAGGCAGCTCTGCTGCATCCCGGAGGGCTGCTGTGAATCAGTGACGGTTGGGGTTGATGTATTTGGGTTTCAGACACAGCACAGACTAAGCTTTAGAATTCTTATCCTCCCAGCTCTTAGTTTGGGCATTTGTTCTGTCCATTTATACTCTGAGAGGAATGTGTTGAAGTTGTTTACTTTGATTGTTTTGTCAGTTTTCCTGGTTTCTTCTCTTTGCTGGGTATCTCTAGGTTTGGATGCTAAGATCACAGCCTGGACCCCTGTGTGCTTGTTGTGCTCAGTCACGTAGGGCGCTAAGAGTCAGAACTGGGAGCGTGGGGCTTGGAACTTCAGCGAGAGGTCTTGATGGACTCGCTGGTGGTGTATTATAGCTTCTTAGAACAGAACACGCTTTCTCTAGCTCCAGTTTTGCCACTCAGCATTCTGTCTCTGCCCACCTGGTGAATAGGACTGGGTCTGTGTTTTCAGCCAAGCTGTCATTCTGTTAGAGGTATTTCTTTATGAATGGAATTGTCTGTGTTTTACTCCATCTGAGGGTTTTTTTGAGAGCAGTTTTACTCCTTTCTTGCTCTGATTCTCACTCCATTATTTTGTACTTTCAGGTTCCTTTCACGTTTTTGTTTTTTTCTTCTTTTGCTGTGTTGTAGATTTCTTCATTTTAGTCCACTTCAGTCATCTGTTTTTATTCTCAGACAGTATTGTCGAGTTAGAACCGACTCTTGGCTGACCATGCGGTGGGTGGATTCTCAGAGACTGAGAATCGCACAGAAGAGATGGCCCATCTTTGTCCTGCAGAACAGCTGGTGGATTTGAACTGCGTGCCTCTGGGTTTGACAGCACAAGTCCTTATGCACTATTCTACTATTCTATCAGTAGTGACAGTTACACTTTTATTTATACTTGTCTATCAGGATTAATGTGACTCTTTGAGAGACTCAGATGCCCAGCTCTAAACTGAAGGGTGGAGGCGTGGGAGCACTCTGCGTTACCCCAGAATAAAGACCTGGTGGTCTCCCTCCAAAATAGGAGCCACTGGCCACCCCGTGATGCGCGGGAGGCTCCCTGGGAGGGGAGGCCAGCTCACCAGCAACTGGAGGTTAGTTCCTGGTGTTTTTAAGAGATCGGTATTAATGGAGTCTCAGTGGGGGAGGACCTGCCTATTACTGCTTTCTCTCTGCCCATCAGATATGTTGAAGTGATTGAATGTTTTAGATTGAAAACATTTCTCTATTATCAAAATTCTCTTTAACCATCACTCTTAAGTTGGAGTTAAACTGTGAACCCAATTGACAGTGGTTACTTGATACTTGTCTTTATGCTGCTGGTTTATCACAGAGTGCTGCCTTCCCATTTCCACAGTCTTCTCATTTCTTCATGCTTTGTTCTGATTCATTTTTCAGATGGCTGGGATGCAGTCTAGAATTTTTTTTATTTCATAAAGAGTTTGTGGGTGGTATAATTCCTGAGTGATTGCCTGTCGAAAAAAGCTTTGCTTCTGCCCTGGAATGCGAAAGAGAAGTTGTCTGCTGTTCTGGCCTTCCTTTCATTCCTGATCTCTCTGTTGTTAGGGTGCATTCTTTGAATGAAGAAAGTGTGTGTGTGTGTGTGTGAGAGTGTGAGAGAGAGAGAGAGAGAAATCGCTTTGTATTAAATGTATGTATATAATTTTTCCTGTTATTCAGTAAATTTCTCTGATGGAAAATCTCACATAAGATTATTTCCCCCCTTTGATTTTCATTTAGATTTTTCCATTTCATAAGTTCCCTTTAACTAGAATTCCTGTTGTGCCTTGGTTTTGAGCTGTTTTCTGTCCCCCCAGTCACTAGCCACCGCACACATTCCTCTTGGAATGGTGCATTTGGGTGAAGAAGGGCGAGAGTAAAGATGGGAGGCGCTCTCCTTATGGTTGAGGTCTTCCCCGTGCATCTTTCTGCCAAGGGTGGAGCATTTCCCCTTGGGTATTGAACTCTGTCTAGTAAGGAAAGAAAATAATTTCCTTCTGAAAATCACGGTCAGCAGAGGGTAAGCTAGGTGATCGGGACTCCTGAAGGTGAAGTCCTTTGTGCATCAAAAGACTTTTCTAGGAGTGAAGAGGGGAGCTACAGAGAAGGAAAAAGTATTTGGCAGTCATAGACCTGACAAGGCCTTCATCTCTAAAATGTGTAGAAAAATGCAGTATCTCAACAAGGAGAAGGCAGACAACCCAGTTACAAAATGGGCAGAGGACAAGAATGGACAACACGTCACCAGAGAGGACATTCAGATGGCCGGAAATGTATAAAACAGCACGCAGGATCATGAGCTGCTGCTTTTACGTGCTGTGGAATCAGAATGGCTCCTGGCTCACCCTCCTGCTTTCAGAGGCTGTAAATCTCTCAGGAGGAGATCGTCTGTTTGTCTCCATGGAACAGCTGGTGGATTTGAACCACTTATCTTTAGGTTGGCAGTGTAGATGCAAATCAGAACAACAAGGAGATACCTCAGCCTGGTAAGAACAGCAGTGAGTAAGACATTGAACAACAAACGCTGTTGGTAGAGTGTGTAAACAGAGCAGAACTCTCGCACTGCTGGTGGGAACGTGAAGTGGTGTAGCCACTACTGAGAGCAGTTGGGAGGGTTTCTTTACCAAGTCGGGAGTAGAAATGCCATATAACCCAACAATCTCAGGACCAGGTGTATGTCCCAAAGACACAGAGCCACCGCACCAACTAATACTCCCCCCCATATTTATTGTCGCATTATTTACTATAGCAAAGAGTTGGAAACAGCCCAGGTGTCCATCAGCAGACAGATATCTAAAGAAACTCTGGGACATTGACACAATGGAGCATTATATATCAGTGGGGAACAATCAAGAATTCATGAAATACTGCACCATGTGGGTGAATCTAGACCAGATTATGCCGAGTGACAGAACTCAGTCACAAAAGGATAGTCATGATAGAAGAGTACTAATGTAGTAAGCTCGGGGAAGGTTTACGCACAGGTAGGATCCACCCTGCAGGGTTACAAGGATTGAAGGTAAGGGAAAGGGAGCCAGAGTTGTAAATAGATCAGTTGGGTTAAGGGAGAGGCAGAATGCAGGAAGGGCTTGGTTAGACACCTTAATAAATTCATTACATTAATCAGTTATAATTAATGTTATGAAACAGAATGTGTACAGATGATTGGAAACAAACCAATATATTTGTAAACTTTCACTCAGATAAAATAAAAAATTTCCCTGACCACCTCGTAGTTTCTGAACTAAGGCTGCTTTAAAGTTGCTGCAGATCCTTTTGTCTGCTCTGTTTGGAAGGTTATTTGATAAAAAAATTTATTAGTTGCTTTGAGCTGAAACACAAGTGACATTATACAGTCTGGTGTCTTTCCAGGGGAAGGAAATGACAACCCAGAACTATGCTGTTACTACGGTATTCCATTTTGTGCCGGATTGCCTCCTGCACCTGCCTGTTTGTCCTTTCATTTCTGTTTTGATTTTGTTTGTTGTCATTTCCCCTCGTAGTTAGGACTCCTCTAGGTTAGTAACCAGGTGGACGACAGTGGTTCTGCTGTGCACACGTGGGGTTACCAGGACTCGGAACTAACTGGAGGGCCACTAATACTAGTGGCTTAGGGCTGAGGAGTTGCGCCGCCAACCTGTTGGAACATGGTTCGAATCCACCAGCTGCTCCATGGGAGAAAGACGGACAGTCTCCCTGCCTACAAAAAACCGCCGGGAGGTCAGCTAAGGGTTGGTTCCAGCTCGATGGTCACACAGTGACAAAAAGTTAAAACCAAGTTGCCATCAAGGATTGGGCTGACCTCATAGGGACTCCTCATGTGTCAGAAAGGACATGGCTGCTGTAGGGGTTTCAAGAGCTGCTTCCGCAGAAGCAGATCTCCAGGCCTTTCCTCCTCATCACCGCGGTGGGTTACGGCTGCAGCCAGCCGCCAAGTGCACTGACCATCGCACCTCCCTTGAGACAGGTGTTCTTAGCACCTGCATGGGGTGGTTTCTTTTGGCCTCTACCTTGTTCGCCTCCAAGAACGCTGAGTTTTCGGTTGTGGGGTTTTATTGTTTGGGTGTGTCCCCTCTAATGCTCCTTTTCTGTGACTGCACGTTCTTGCTCTATCACTTTGACGATGTTGAATCTCACTGGGGTTTGTTGTGGGGTTTTTGTTTGTTTGTTTGTTTTTATTTTCTACTAGTTTATTTACAAAATTGAAATACACTGTTTTCAAGAACAAATTCTTTCAATTTCCCTCACCCCCCCAACCATCAAATTGTACAACCTCATAATTAATCCACCCCCATCCTACCCCCTCCCCACACATCCTCATCCCTCTGCTTCCTCTCCCGCCCCTCTTGGATCCTTCTACTCATTCTACAATAATAGTTTGTTGAGGGGGTTTTGTTGTTTGGTTGGTTTTTTACATAGTGGTTTTATACAATATTTATCCATCTTGGACTGAGTGAGTTCACTCAGCATTATGCTCTCCAGACCCTCCCAAGTTAGGTAATAATTTACAAAATCATTGCTCCTGTGTGCTGCATAGTATTCCATTGTGTGAACGTACCATAATTTCTTAGTCCATTCGTATGTGGTTGGACATTTGGGCTGTTTCCATGTCCTTGCGATGGTGAATACTGCTGCTATGAGCATTGGTGTACAAACCTCAGTTATATTTCCCAGGGTATATTCCAAGTGATGGAATAGGTGGGTCATACGGAATTTCTGTGTTCAGCTTTTTGAGGAAGTGCCAAACTGCCTTCCAGAACGGTTGCACTATTTTACAATCCCACCAGCAATGCATAAGAGTACCTTTCTTGCCACATCCTCTCCAACATTGATTACTTGCTGCCCTGTTAAACTTTGCCACTCTTATTGGAGTGCGATGGTACCTCACTGTGGTTTTAATTTGCATCTCTCTTATTGCCAGTGGTTTGGAGCATTTCTTCATGTGTCTATTTGCCATTCCAAGTATCTTCCTCTGTGAAAATTCTTTCCATGACTTTTGCCTATTTTGTAATTGGGTTGTCAGTCTTTTTCTTGTGGAGGCCCAGGAGTGTTCTGTAAACTTTTGTTATAAGACTCTTGTCTGAGATGGTATTACCAAATGTTTGTTCCCAGTCTGTAGGTTTTCTTTCACTGGGGTTTTTCTTGTCTGTTTTCTGGTCCTGCCCACAAGGCTGTCCCCTGAAGTGGTTTGTCCTGGGCACACAGGGTTGGCACCCCTCTTTTCAGCGCTGAGTGTTTATGCGTTTGCAGGGCATCCCTGTTTGCTGTGTAGCGGTGAGCACTCTCAGGAGTTGTTGGCGCTTGCACGCGGTTCTGTTCAGGAACAGTCCTCCTCTGCTGTAGTGACCACTCGGAGGTGACACAGATACGGTGCTGTCAGCGGACCCCAGGTCCATGTGCTGTCCCTGGACCGCACCCAGGCAGCCTGCTCTGGTGACAGCGTCAGGGACTAAGTTCACTCAGCCTGGCCCCCCTGCTGCTGACTCCTGCCCTCAGGTGCCACCTGGAGGGCGGGGGTACGTTTTAGGTGGGGAGAGTGTAAAGACAAACCTCGCTGAGCCCTGTGACCGGCACCCTGCCCTTCCGTGGTGCAGTTTGCTGATGGGCTCTGCTGTGGCCTGCCTTTAGAAACCTCCAGGCACAGCGGAGCACCAGCTTTGCAGTCCACAGTGACAGCCAGGCTGGACCCCTTGTGTTGCCCCATCATGTTCCCCTCCTCTGTCATTGTCTCTGCCGAGAACTCTCTACTTCATCCCCATCCCCATCAGTGAGACCTCCCCGTAACATCATTCCCGTCTTTTTTCAGCAACTTCGTGACTCCCTCAGCTGTATGTAGTCGTCCCCCTGTCACATGCCCTGCCCTTTATTCCAGCAGCCTGTGTCCCTCTCACCCCTTCCCTTTGCATTACGTGCTCCATGAGATCTGGGGCCACATCGTATTCACCCCGATATGAAGGGTCGTTAGGATGAAAAGGCTAGAGGAAGTCGGTTTGAGCCCTTGCTCGACGCTCGCTGTCAGCGTGAGGCCTTGGCCAGCAGTGTCCCTGAGCCTCTTTGAGTGGGTTTTCCACTTTGGAAAATATCATCATGTGAGTACTTAACCGCATGACACTGTGTCAGAGACCACGTAAGGTTAATCCAGCCAGCACCATGAACACGGAAACAAATGCTCATTCTGTTTCCTGTCCTCCCCGCGGCCCTTGGTCACCACAGGCTCTGTTTGTGGCCTTGATGAGAGAAAGTGATACTTGCACTTTTGTGCTGAGTCAGGGGCAGTGCTCAGCTAGAACTTGGGGTGCCTGGGCACCCCGCTGCACACACTGGTCCTCCGGAATGCACCAGGCACTCTGTAAAAAAATACACAAGGTGTAGCCCTTCTGTGAAAAGCACAGAAACTGGCTTGTTGGCTGGTTGAGTTGAGTGGCTGGGTTTTCAAACGAGCAGTTACTTTCTCATCTGGGTTGAAAGTCAGTGAAGATGTAGCCGCAGGTGGAAGCTCAGATCGAGGCTCGTGGCCTTTCTGTGGAAAGATCTAGCCTGAAGTCGCATTCTCGATGGTGGTTGGTCACTGGCGCGTCCCCACAGAGACTCGTCACGGAACCGGATGGTAGAACGTGTTCATTCCAGTCCCTGGTCACCCTCTGCTCCTCTTTCAGGATCGGAAGGTGGCTTGTTAGCCCCGCTCTCCGGCCTCGCCACTGGAAGGAGACGCCTCAGCTTGCTCTCCCCCCTGATCATTATGTGAACAGGGACGGGCTGTGAACCCTGCTGTGGACTCTGCTCCAGCAACTGGCCTCCTTCTGTCTCTAGGCCCCCGATGGGAACCTGCTAGACCTGATGTACCGGGAGCCAGCCCGCTGGTCCTACACCTTCCAGACCTTCTCCTTCATGAGCCGCCTGCAGGTACAGCTGGAGCCCTTCCCGGAGAGACCCCTCCAAGGCACGAGACAGGTGCAAGTCTTCGAGAGGTCCGTGTACAGTGACAGGTACGACACCAGGCCAGCCGGGGGATGCTGGCTGTGCCCAGCGCTTGCACCTGCACCACTCACGCTCGTGAGTGCAGGTCTCCAAGCACCCACGACTCGCTGTCTTTCTGACTGCTTTCTCACCGGGATGCTTACTGGCACCACGGATCCTCCATCACGTTGCTTCTTTTCTTCCACTTCACGAATCCTTCTAGAGAGTTGGAATTGGGCACTTAACGTCCCCAGGCCCTTTTCTGCCTTCGTTTTGAGCAGAGAGGAGAGGGTGTGGGTCAAGAATTTCCATCTCTCAAGAATTGATGGAGCAGCTTAGAAAGGTTAAGTAGTTTGAACAAGCATGGAACAAGTTGGTTATTGATTTCTCTCTCTCTCCCCTGTCCCCCCTTCCTCCGCTTCTCTCCCCCTCTCTTTTTCTCTTCTCCTCCCTCTACCCCTCTCTTCTTCTCCTTCTCAACCCCGCTCCCTCTACCCCTTCTCTCCCTCTCTCCCTCTACCCCTTCTCTCCCTCTCTCTCCCTCTCTGTTCCCCCTCTCCCTATTTCTCTCCCTCTCTTCCCCCTCCCCCTCCCCTTTCCCTCTTCCTCTCTCCCTCTCTCCCCCTCCCCTTCTTCTTTCCCCTCCCTCTCACCCCCTTGCCTTTTCATTCTGTTCTCCGTTCTTCGCCCTCCCTTGCACCCCATTAACCTTTCCAACCAGGTATATCTTTGCAAAGAATCTTTTTGAAAACGGTTCCCTCAGTGACATCGAGTGGCATATCTATCAGTACTGGCACACTTTCCTCCTCCAGGAGTTTGCCAACCGGATCCGATTACATGGCTTCATCTACCTGCAGGCCTCTCCCCAGGTAACGCAGAACCACAGCACCTTCCTCCATAAAGGTAGCGGAAGCCCAAGGGCTGTGCTCTTCCAGCCTCGGTTTCCTGCTTGAGGAATAAGCATCCGGGCCTTCTTCAGAGCGTACAGAGCAGTGAGTGGACACCACATGCTGCATCCCACAGGCCGTGTGCAACAGACTCAGTCACAGCTCAGGACCAGAGGCTGAGCAGGCCTCTTCTCTGTTACCCACGTTTGCAGGTTGGGTTCAGTTACCAGGAGGCCTGTAGCCAGTCAGCAGTCTTCTCTCCCCTCTGGGCCAGCTGAGTCTCTGGTGGTCTGGATTGATTTCCGGAATAGGGTGGGGAGGGTGTCCTCACCTCATCATGGAAGTCCCTGGAAAACCATGGATGCTGTGGGCTAGGTGGGGTGCACTCTGGAAGTTGCATTCCAGCCCGTCCCTCTGCAGGATCCCTGGAAGCAGCGTCATGGGTGGTCCTGGGCCGTGCTGCCTGGCTGTGACCTTGGCTGTCCCTGAGCTTACATGGGAGGGTCCCTATCTGAACCACTCTGGCTGAGATGACACGATCTATAAATGCTTTCACCGAGCGGGGTTCCGAGTCAAAGCACAAGGTGTTTGGAGGGAGCTGTGTGTGTGGGCATGTGCCAGCTGTACCACCTAATCGCAGAAGGAAGGTAGACTGATGCGATGAGAGGCCTTGTGTTGTAGAGGTGGCCCCGGGCTCTGGGTCCTGAAGGAAGTCCACGGCAGGCAGCACGGCATGGTGAGGAAACGAGGGGGGAATCCTTAGCCACCCCAACTTCAGGGGCCAGAGAGGAGAGGACTGTGTAGAAAACCTCACCCCGAAAGTGCCACTGGGGATGAGGACCTCAAGGTGAACCAGGGCAGGTGTGGGGGCTTTGTGCTGGCAGATTCCAGAGATTGTACAGTTTGAGAAGATAAAGAGACTCCACAGACACGGGGTCGGAGGGCCGATCAGGTCTGGAGGTAACACAGGCACCCCTCACCCCAAGGCTGCACGTCCCCACCTGTGAGATTTACAGCCCCGAGACCCGTGGAGGATTCCTGTGAGTCGGGACGACTCAGCAGCAGCACTTTGAGTTCAGAAGGTCCAGCACACAGCCAGCCATGAGGGTGGCAGCCCTGAGGGCAGGTGCCCCCACCTCAGGAGACAGTTCCCTGCTGGGCTGGAGGTGGCTGTATTGCCCTCAGAGGATAGTTCCCCCTGGAGGTGCCTGTATTGCCGGCTGGTCCCGTTTATGCATCTTCTCTCACACAGTTGTTGTCTGGCAGCAGGCGCAGGAGCACTAGGTGATGGGGGATTGTGATTTGGGGTGGGGGCTTAGTGATGAGGCTGGAGGAGGAGGCCTTGCCAAAGAACATGAGTGCTGGGTTCAAGGTGGGAGAAAGGCCTGGCCCCAGGAGGGGCCCTCGAAGGGCCCATGATTGGACCAGGTGTTGACCAGAGGATGAGGATGGAGCAGGTAAAGATTCGGTCAGGATGGGGCAGAGCTGCCAGCTTTCTGGTGAGGGTCACGCTGTGGCTGGAGTGAGGGTCAGCAGGCCGAGAACCTGGGGAGACCAAGCGTGCTGACCTCTGCCTTTTGGGGGCAGGCAGGCAGGATTTCATCCCAGTCCATTGTAGACAGGGTGGGGTGGAACAGGGAGGAAGAGGGCTGTTTCTGGGGAAGCTGAGGTTGAGGGCAGCACTGTCCGACACTGGGCCAGCGGGTAGGACAGCAGGGAGGACCCGATCCCTCCTTCACTTCTCCTCTGTGTGTGCTGAATGCCCTTCCTTGGGAGGAGAGGGTGGGGATGAAGGTGGTGGTCATTGTTGTTGTTGTTGTTGTTATTATTCCTGTTGTGGGAGTGAGGAGGGATATTTTTGGGGTGACTAACGGAAGTGTTTCTGTTGGGGAAGAGTGGAAGGAATTGAGGGATTAACATGTTGTCGTGGGCAAAAAGGGAAGTCGTGGATTGGTGTGGGGTCTTGATGGGGCTTTGGGTGCTGCTTTGATAGCATCAGACAGTGATCCTGCAATGCTGGCTAACTTCTCAGTTGTCACTGTACCCAAGAGAAGTTGTTGTTGTTGTTATTTGGCGCTGTCCAGTCTACTGCGATGCATAACCACCCTGTGGACAGTGTCCACAGGCTGTGCCGTCCTGACCGTCCCGACATACTGGAGTCCATTGTTAGAGTCACCGTGTCAGTCTGTGTCCCCCAAGGGGAGAGCAGAAGGGAAAGGAAGGTGTGTCTGCATGAGCGCTGTGAAGTGGCCGGTGCCCAGTGGTGGAAACCGTTTAGAGCTCGCACAGGGTGGCATAGAGCAGACCCATGCCCTGCACACTGCCCGCCTCCGCCAGGGCCACCCCGCGTTGAGTGCACGCAGATGGAGGAGCTGCAAGGCGAGAACCAACTGGGGGCAGTGAAGGGAGCTGAGTGCTCTGAGCTGTGGCTGGACAGAAGGAGAAAGAAGCTCTAGGGGTCATGTGTACACGTCTGGGTGGCTGGCGTAAGTCAGAGGAAGCCAGGTGAAGGCCGAGGAGATGTCAGGCCAGGGATTCACGTCCTGTGGTTAAACAAGGAAGCAAGGCAGCTGGAGCTCAGCCCTGGCCACCTGTACCGGCCCAGAGCTCCAGAGCTGAGGAGGCCGCTGGGGCCCGGGTGGTGTCTTCTAGGTGTGTCTGGAGAGGCTGCACCGGAGGGCCAGGGCGGAGGAGAAGGGCATCGAACTGGCTTATCTCGAGCAGCTTCATGGGCAGCACGAAGCCTGGTTCGTTCACAAGACAACCAAGTAAGTGGAGAAAAGTGCAGAGCCGGAGACCCGCAGTCCCCAACATCCC